TTCTATATAAACTGATCAACTAAAAGCAGTTTACATGAATTATCTTTTGTCTTAAATCAAGTACCAGAGTATGCATCTAGCATTCATTATGAGATACAATTAACATATTACAGAGACGTTAAGACAACAATAACAAATAAAATTAAACGAAAAACTTCTATCAATTTGATATTTACTTAGAAGTGCTAGAGGACATGTTTCTACTTCCATTTATAGTTAAACTAGCATAGTTTACTAAACAAAATGATCAAAAGAAAACATTGAAATATATTATCTCTATATAAACTGATCAACTAAAAGCAGTTTACATGAATGATCTTTTGTCTTAAATAAAGTACGAGAGTATGCATCTAGCATTCATTATGAGATACAATTAACATATTACAGAGACGTTAAGACAACAATAACAAATAAAATTAAACGAAAAACTTCTATCAATTTGATATTTGCTTAGAAGTGCTAGAAGGCATGTTTCTACTTCCATTTATAGTTAAACTAGCATAGTTTACTAAACAAAATGATCAAAAGAAAATATTGAAACATATTATCTCTATATAAATTAATCAACTAAAAGCAGTTTATATGAATGATCTTTTATCTTAAATCAAGTACGAGAGTATGCATCTAGCATTTATTATGAGATACAATTAACATATTACAGAGATGTTAAGGCAATAATAACAAATAAAACTTAAACGAAAAACTTCTATCAATTTGATATTTGCTTAGAAGTGCTAGAGGGCATGCTTTTACTTTCATTTATAGTTAAATTAACATAGTTTATTAAACAAAATAATTTTAAAAAAATACTAAAACATATTATTTCTATATAAACTGATCAACTAAAAGTAGCTTACATAAATTATCTTTTGTTGTACGAGAGCATGCATTTAGCATTCATTATAAGATATAACTAACATATTACAGAAGCGTTAAGACAACAGTAACAGATAAAATTTGAACGAAAAACTTTTTATAAATTTGATATTTGCTTAAAAGTGCTAGAGAGCATGCATCTATTTCCATTTATAGTTAAACCATTTATAGTTTGCTATATAAAATGATTAAAAGTAACTTGTATAGGTTATCTTGTGTATTAAAAAATCAAGTACAAGCATGTCCACTTAAGCATTTATTTTGGGTTACAATTAAATTATTACAGATAAATTAAGACAATAATAACAAATGAACAAGCTCCGACTGATTTGAAATTGTTGAGTGAAGACAATTAATTAATTCATGAATAGGGTATTTGCTTTCTTGTAGACACGTAGTCTGTCATTTATTACTGTTATTATTACTATATTTATTGTTATATAAAGTAAATTTAAAATTATCACTTGTCATTTTTTTTATATTTTTAAATAATTTTATATATAATATAATATATATTAATTTTTATATTATTTATATATAATCATAAAAGTTCTTCTAAAATTATAATATGCACCCTATATAACAATCAAATCTAGTTATTATTACTATAGTTATTGTTATATAAAGTCAAAGAGATATGGCTCAAGTTTAAATAATAAATTCAATAATATTGATATTATAACATCTGAATTATATATTTTTATTTTAAAATCTATATTTTGTAAATTTTGAAATACCACTAGCTAGAAATACGAAAATACTTCACAAATATTTCAATTTATTTAAAAATTTATATGCACTTACTCTTATAATTAATAGACATCCAAATGAAATGAAATTTCACGATTACCTCTCAAATATATTACTATGACATGAACAAAACTATATAGCATAACAAAAACACTCATGACACACTATATGTAATACAACAAGAATACTTTTGATACACAAAATTGATATATCCTAAAGTTGGGCGAGCCTACGAATATCAAAGGGATAAGCATCCGAAGCAGATTGTGCGCTGTATGATCTCCTCCCGATGACAATATTTGCAGCCTCAGTTGGGTGAAAAGCATCCCAAAACACGTATTCTCTTCTGTTCTGGCATGGTGGTTGCCCCGGTAGACAAGTAATTTGTCCGTTGTTTCTCCCAACTCCACAACATCCTGCATTTGTCACTCGAAATCCTAACATTGAACAAAACGAATTTAGTTTAATTATTTGTAATATCTCGCATTCTAGAGTTGTACAATATAAAATATCGGTCGAAATTATAGAAAAATAAACTTAAATTACCGTAAGCTGAAGGATTATTGATTAGGTCCTGTGAGATGCCATAAGCATTGATGTAAACGGCTTTTGCATCATTGAAATTGTTATTGAATTCATTAACCAGAGATCTCAGTTTGTTGTTGAAAATTTGGTTTGCTGAGTTGATTCTTTGCACACATGTTCTTCCATCAGGGCTATTTTGAGCCAACTCGTTTGGGCTGCAACCTATTGCTCCCACTCCAATTAACGCCAACTTTCTAGCTCCGTCGTTGTACAAATTCTGTTCCATCACTAAAGAAATTTAATTGTCGCAAAATATTTTTTTTACTCAAAAACGTAATAAACTAATTAAAACTAAACTCAACTTAGTAATCATAATCTAAATTAGCTATATATATGAACACCGAAACATTTAGAATTTGGGTAAGATTTAGGCTTATTGAGGTTTGGAATGTAAGAGTGATTATATTGATAATCACTAGAAATTTTCTACAGTGATCCTAAGATTCATCTCTTTGTTGAAGTGAACATAATTTCACTATGTTTTTATGTCTGAGTTTTTCTTTTTTTTAATTTTCTAACTATTCAATCAATTTACTTATACCTGTCTACTCGAAAAAAAAATTATTTATACCCGTATAATACCGAATAAGGACTAATTTAACTCAAAATTTTGAGTTAAAAAAATAAAAGGACCTGAATTTGCTGGCTGTATCTTTGGATAAGATCATCAGCATACTGTTCTGGGGTGAATTGATTGCCAGTGTTGTAGAAAGTAGGCATGAAATAGTTATTGAGATAATCATTGCTGCCTAGTCCAATCGAGTAAATGCATTTGCTTAAATAATTTGCTGCTGAATTCTCATCTCCAAGCAACTGCACCACTTGTGATACTGTTCTTCTGTAATTATTTACTTGCCCTGCAAATGGAATCCTATCTCCCTGCAAACCAAACATTAATCAATTACTTTCTCCCATCTATATATGTTTTTGTGTACATATAATAATCTGTATCTGATCCGATGACTAGTTCTAGTCACGCCGTATAGATGATCCAAGTTTGAATCATATCTTCAGAATTTATCTTAAAATAAAAAAGTACATATATATATATATATGAAGATTTGATTTACCAGTTGTCTTCCTGTTTCCTCTCTAATTCCAGCAGCTGCTGATGCATAGTTTACTCCTCTAAGTATGTCTTGACCTCTTGCAGCGGAAAATGGAGGAATGTAATCATCAAACCCTAGAAGTTCAGCTTTAACAACAAAAGATTAAACCCATGTTAGATTTATTAACAAGAAAAAGTTTTTTTGTCCTAATAATGAAGTTAATAAAAATGTAAACCCTTTAGAATTGTGCAAACCATATTCTAAAATAAAGTTTCACAAATACATACAAATATATTGATGGGCATAATTTGAATTATCTACTGTAATTAATGTATATGCATGACTTCAACATTTTGTTTTGGAAAGAAGAATCATAAAAATGGATGTGATCCAACTAACCAATAACATCAACAGTTGTTCTCCCATTAGAAAATCTTCCTGTCGGTCCATCAGGAAAATCGATACCATAAGGCGGATAATCAGCTCGAGCAAGAGATCCAAGTTCGTTATTGTTACCATTATCGACCAATGAGTCACCGAATATGAAGTAACAAGGTACTTGCGGCTCTCCTCTTACTCTTTCGAGATTTTGAAACTTCAAAATTATTGTCATTACCATCACCATTGTATACAATAGTTGCCCCATTGCTACTGTCGGTAAGCAAGACTTGAAACTAAAAGAAAAGAATTAAAGCAAATGGGAATGAATGAGGAGAAGTTCTGAAGAGTAGGAGTATATATACACACATATATATATATGCATATGTATATAAGCAGACAAGGAAAAGAAGACATTGTTTATTAAGCTTTTACAGTTGAGAAGGGTTAGTTAGATGCATTAATTTCACGCGGACATAATGTGAGAGAGAGACTTTGCGCCACAGCCCGCCCGACTGCCTTATTTTCTTTCTTCTATAATTGAAATATATATATATATATACATATACTGGTGATTTGGGTTGACTTATACTTTATTTTTGTTTTAAAATATATATTTACTTGAATAACAATTATTAATTATTTAGTTCCATATGTTTATATATATATATATATAAGTAATAAAGAAAAACATATAAAGAAGCTTTAAAATTATAATTTTTGTTTTTTTCATGAACCCTAAAAAAAGTGAAGAAAAAAATTGAAACCCACAAATTCATTTCATCCATTCATGTCACTGTTACTTATTAAAGTAAGGAAAGATGAAATTATATCATCCAAGCTGTATATATATGTTTGGTTGTAATCATTTTAAAATTGCATGGCTTACTTGAAATCGTATATATAAATATATGTGAACTTGTGAAATTAAAAATTGGAATTTTTATTAATTAGTTGTGCAGATTGGGACATTGCTAATTTGAAGCTGTGGTGGCATTTAGCTATATATATATATATAATATATATATGAGCTGAAGATTTAAGAGTAGTTGTGTTAATTAATAATATGATTTTTTTAAAAAAATTTGGTTTCTGATTTCTCCATTGCTGCAATTTAAGTGTTTAATATACCTCTGTGTGTGTGTGTATATATATATTAAGGAGAGATAAAATTATTGACAAGGAAACAAACCCTTCAAAGGAAAACATTTTTACTGAAAATCAAGAGAAAGAAAGATTGTAAGAAAGAAAGCCATTGATGAATATGAGGAGGAGGAATATAAATAAAAAAAATCTTTTAAAAAAACCAGAAAGAAATTTGTTAAAGTCAAATCACTAATTCATATATAATATTAAATACTTAATAATTGAGTACTTAATGCTCTTACTATTTCTTACTTTATCTTTTTGTCTATATATATATATATATGTGTGTGTGTGTGTTTGTATTGTATTTGATCTCAAATCAAAGAGGAAAAAAATAAAATTTTTAAAAATTCATAGAGTTTTTTTATGGTAGTTGTGCGACTCCCAAGTGTAAATAGTCTACTCCTTTCATTTCTTATTAATTAGTTATTGAAAAACTTGTACTTATAAATAGAATTATTATATCGATGTGCTAGTTTGATATCAATTAGAATAAGCTCCGACAATTATCTTATGTAACGATTCTAAAATTTTTATATCTCTAATAGCCTTAACGTACTTCATTATTTAGAAAAGAATGGTGATAAACTTAAAGTCTTGTTGAAAGATGGATGATGTGTGAATCTAGCTTATACCTTATGCTTAATAAATTACGGTCTTCTCATTTCTTAATTGTTGCCACAATAAAATAAGAAATTCAACTATCTATTATAGAAAATGTCATTACTTATAATGTAAAGAGTTTGTTAAAAAAATAATTGATACCAACCGATATTGCAAATGAATATTTTTTGAAAAACATATTGATGACCATTGAGAAAAGATCCAAATCTTTAAACAATTATGTAAAAGAATTCAAATCATTGTGATAATCTTACAACCATCGTGAACTAGTTACGGATCTTAATAAATTTTTTTAAGAATGATGTTATGACTTTTAAAGTATTTAAAATCTATGATCGTACAAAACTTATCATTCATGATCAGTTTATATGTCTCACAATAAAAAATGTTCGATCCTACAAGATTAGTCATGTTAAACTTCGATTTATATGAATATCTAAGTAAAAAAAATAAGTGGTTGATCATTTGAATAGTTTAAATAATCATTTTCTAATCACTCATATGGTACCTAATCATTTAAAATCTTGAATTTTTATAACTATATCAAGATATATTAAATTTTACATAAATAGAGATATTCGCTATATAGTTACAATTGCATACTTTGTTATAATAACAGTAACAAAAAACGTTTGGTCAAAATTTATTTTTATAATCATCTGTATTGTAGTTGTTATTGATTTTTATAACGATGGACATTATGGTTGTTGTTTCTTAAATGCATCACATGAGAATTTTTGTTTTCTTTTAGCGGAACCCATTAAAGACGAGAGTTTATTAGGGTATAATACGATCTTCAAGATAAAAATACTTTTACCTTTTCGAGAAGTTAATTAATTTCATTTTATATTTCTTAAATAAGTCTCCAAGTATAGAAAATACACTTAATTTGCATCAAGAGGAGCGCCTAAGTATGGAATGGGAAGACTCTTAGTCTTGTACCTATATGTTATAAGTAATTCATTAACTTTTGCAAATTCACCAACTCCAATCCAAGAGCTCTTTTGAAAATTTGATATTCCATATATAGGCCAATTCTTTGTAAGTAGTTTTTAAAAATATTTGTATATATAAACCAAATAAAAGGACTTGCTTTTTTGGGTTGACAAAGAGAGTTAAGACCAATTCTTAAAGCATTAAATACAAGAGAGCTCGTCGGTCATTTGCCACAACATCATAAAGATTATATAAGAATGCTTATTGATAAACTATATACATATATATATATATATATAAAAGATGATTTAATGGCAAATAAATTTAGCATAAAGCTACTTATAGCTTCAATATATATATATATATATATATATATAGAGTCAAGAGTTGGGCAATGCATGACCCATTAAGCAAATTACCAATGTATACAATGTGGTCCTATAAAACCTTTCCATATTCATTATACATTACCTTTATCTGCTGATATAATTTAGTGCAGTACAGCAAGTGTGTTGACAAGGTTAAATTTGATTTGGGATGTTGACAAAAATCAAGGATCTGAAAATTGAAGTAAACCCATTTGAAACTATAAATCAACACAACTACCAAAAAGATTGAAATGTTATTTCTTCATATTAATTAAAATTTATTAAGGTAGGTGACAAAATTTAATGAGAGAGAGAGAGAGAGAGAGAGAGAGAGAGAGACAAAGTCATAGCAAGTAACATGGGTGAGTATAATGATCCTTAGCGTGGTTGAGACTATATACATATATATATATATATATGTGTGTGTGTGTAATGTGTGTGTGTAATGTGTGTAGGTCATGTGTGTAATAATGTCACACATCTAACACGTCTGCCGGCAAGTCACCAATTGATTTCGCTACTCTTTTGAAATATGACATTTTCCACAACAAGAATTGTCGGTTTTAAATCGGATTATACGTTGTTGTATGTACGTCTTTATTAAAATTTTAATTATATTATTATTTATGTATAAGTGATACATTCGTATTAATATGATTAATTCAAGCAATTAATGTAATATTTTTCAAAAATTTCGAAAAGAACAATTATTCTTTTCCAAATGAGATCTTATCGGAGGGTTAGTAAGATCTTAATATTATTATAAGAAATATCAAATTTAGCAAGAGATTTATAGTTGAATATACGAAGAATGAGCGAAAACAAGAAGAATGATAGAGAAAAAATAAAGAGAGAGAGAATAATTATCGAAGATTGAAAAAAATAAAATAAAATTAAGGAATTTTTCATTAATGGGAGTAAAAGAGTATTTATGTAGAGAGGAAAAAAAAAAGTAACTTATAATTAATTATACAACTAACCCCACATTTACAGCTAATTACACAACTAATTACATTGAATTCACAATTAATCATAAACTAACTAAATTTTGGAATTTGTATACAATTTATTTACAAACTAATAATTATTTTGACTAGAAAATGATAAAAAAATCCCATTTAAAATAATAAAACTTTGATTTTTATGTGGAATTTCATATAAAATTAGTACAATAAATCTTAATTTTTTTGAAAATTTCAAAATGTAGAATTTCCGTATTAAGCTAATTTCTATCATATTTTAATTATATTTTTTCTTTATACTAATTGAAATAAATAAATATAAATTTATAAATAAATTTTAAACTTGTGTAGCACATAACCTTAATCTTTGTAGATAATCTGAATTTTGCCTTATTTGTGTTATGATTAATTTAATTAATACAAAATAAATTGTATCAGTGATTAATCTATTTATATAAAATGCAGATTTGATCTTTTTTTTTAAATTATTTATAATTTAAAAATAATAATTTATTCATCTTTAGCATTTAATAATATTTTTTAAAAAATATTTTTCTCTTCTTTCTCCCCCTGCTCGTGCGTACGAGGCAAGAAGAAATTTAGAAATCTTTCTAAACGACGTCGTTTTTGAGGAGACTAATTAACAGTGCCGAATGGGCTGGATTTAAAGGGGAGAGAAGAAGAGAAGATGGACCGGATCGGGCTGTTTTTTATTTTCTTTCGGGTCAATTGAAAATGAGTGGTGGCTTAAGGTTTCTTGGATTTAAATTAGATTTTTCTAAAATATAGGGTTTGGGTATTTTTGGGTTTTAGATTTTGAACTTAAAAAAGGGTCTAATTTTTTAAAAGAAATGGGAGTTTAATATAGGCTTGGGGCTAAAATGAGAAAATTGAAGGGTTTGGGTAAAGGACGAAATAAGTCACCAAAATCATAATAGTAGTAATTCGAAGTTATTATAGCATCTACTTCAAAGAAAATTCTTGTCTTCCATGCATTATCCTAAATATGATGAATGAGACAAAATTGAATAGTGTTGTGCTTCTTCCATATGGATCCATGATATAATCAATTAGTATGAAAATTACGAAATCTTAAAAGCTTGTGGGACCTATCCAGTTATCATCACTATGATCAAAATTTTATGCAAAAACACTTCCCCTTGAGCCAAAAGCCTTACAACCCTTAACTTTCAAAGTTGATTCAGGAAATTACTTGTTCTGACTAGACCATAAATTGGGAGCAATGACTCTATGGTAGATGATGTTAGGAAGATCAATGAGTATTTGAAACTCTATATTAGGACAATTTTCAATTTTGGATTGTAATGTTTATGGACCACTCTATACCTAATATTGCTCTTAGCATTATTAAGTGTTCTATATTTTTTGTGTGATTTGGATGCATCGTGTTTGATAAAGACTTGTCCTACTCACATGGTATTATATAATCTTCGATATACTTAGTTTGATTAAAATTTTTTTTAGATATTTTAACTTGCTATGATATTTTATCTTTCTTCTTTTATTTCTTCAACTTTTTGACACATGACAAAAATGAGAGAATAGTAGTTTTGGTAATACAAACATTATTTGTTTATTACATTATGATATATGAACATTGCGATGTCTTTGCATGGTGATGTTACTATTGACTTCATATTTATTTTATTCTTTAGATTATTTTATTATTTTTTGTAACCAAAATGACTATTTAGTTATCATAAATATCACAGAATCACTTATTCTTAAAATCTACAAAATATAGTAAATGTTGTATATTGTTGTTTTCTTTATCTGGAAAATAAGCATAAAGTAAAAGGTAGATGAGTAATCATCCCTAATTTTTATTGGGACATTAAGAAATGGCAAGTCTTAGTTCTCTTGAAAAACAAATCTTCTTTACTGTATAAAATTTTCTTTTTAAAGCAACTATGATTAAGTTTCATCATCCATAAAAGGAAGAGATTGTTGAAATATATGCACTTATTTCAATAATAAAAATACCTAATTTATGCTAGTATGAATACATACATAAGTTGAAGCTTGACTCATTTAGAAAATCAAGTAGTTAACTAAGTTGGTTATTAGTGAAACTCTCAAACGATTGGCTTGAGAAGATGACATAACATTAGTGGAGACTGTACCTCTATAAAAGGAGTTTATACTTTCTCTTTCCTTAACTCTTTTCTGACACTTATTATATTTATGTTACATTAATTTTATTATTGTTGGATTTATTTTGAAGTTCCTTAAAGTCTTATGTTCACGTTAAAGCATTATTGTTGAATAGTTATATTAACTTGAAAATTATAAAAGAATGCAATGACCTGACTCACTCTCCCTCTTGAGTTACTTCAGACATTTGAGACAACAATATGAATTAAGGTTTACAAATATTAATTAATGTATGAAACGTTATTATTATAATTCCAACCGTCTATTTGGAGATTGAATCTAAAGTTTGATTTTCTTGTAGATTAGATTATAGAATTTTTCGCTAATTTCAGATAATTATCTTTTTTTTTTTACTAGATAAAAGAAAATCCTAATATCTATATGCAAAAGTTGGCATGCAAATATTCTAAACCTAAAAAATATCATTAAATTTTTACTTGTTATAGAATATTTTATTTGAGTTTTTTTTTTTTTTCCATAAATATAT